TATTGAGTTCCAGGCTAGCAGGGGCAACATAGTGAGACCTAGACTCAATCAATTAACTAATTAATTAAAAATAAGTAGAAACGCATTCCTTAGGCCAGTGATGGCTGAGTGGGTAAAGGCACTTGAGTGCAAGCCTGATAACCCAAGTTTGGCACCCAGAACCCATGTAAACACAGAGAAAACTGACTCCACAAAATTGTCCTGTGACTGCCACACACGTGCAATGGGTGGCACTGGTGTGTCAGCACTCACACCCCGTGTACCAACGAGAACACGCATTCCCCCAGAAGCTGGGACATGGTGCTGTGTGATAGAGCACGCACAGGTGTGAGGGCTTGAGTTCAGCTCCCCAGCACCCATGGTGATTTGAAATAATAATGCTTGTAATCCCAGCTGGTCGGAGCAAATAGAGACAAATCAACCCGGGGGCTCCCCGGCCAGCCAGTCCAGACATAGAGTGGGCTCTAAGTTCAATGAGCTACCTTACCTCCAACAATAAGTAAGGCATTGTTTGTTGGTGTGCCAGACTGCCTGGAGCAGGGCTGGAACACCTTAGGAATGACGGAATTCTGTGGAACAAAGTATAGAATGAGTGCTGGTCCAATGCTCGAAAGACTCATGTTCAGGACCAGCAAGAAGATTCAATGAGTACCACCTGAAGACCTGATGGGAGAACCCTGGGGATAGGAGACAGGAGACACATGATAGGAGACCCAACTGTCATGCATTGTCCTCTGACAGTCACACGCATGAAGTATCATGCATTCACTCACACACACACACACATACTCACTCACACACACACACACACACACACACACTCACACACACACACACACTCACACACAAATATAATTTTTTGAAAACCTCAGATTCAGCCAGGCATGGAGTGCTTATAGTCCCAGCACTCAGGAGGCTGAGGCAGGAGGAATATTGTGAGTTAAAGGTAGCCTAGGCTAGATAGTGAGATTTGTCCCAGGATTCTTTCCTAAAATCTCTGCCCTGCCCATAAGAAAGGGATGGATAAAACCTGAGTCTAACCATGAAGTGGGACAGCTGCTCCCTGGCCAGAATTTTCTGGGTCAAAGCAACTTTTCTGTGGCCCAGAGAGGCTGAGGACAGTGGGAAGTTATGCAGGACACAGACCCCTGAAGACTAGAGGTCTGAGGTTGCAGAAGGATATGGGGGGGGGCTGATGGATGGGGGCGCTGATGGGTAAAGCAGCCCTTGACATGGAGGGAGCTGCCTCAGCCATCATGGGGGAGAAGGAGCTGCTTCCAAGAGAGCCAGGGCAAAACCCTGAGTGGCCTCATGAACAGCTCATTGGCTCAAGTCAATTAAAATGGAAGCCAGGTGTGCTGACCAGCTTCTTATTGTCTGCGAGGCCAGGTCTGTTGGCACGTAGCTGCAATCCCAGCACTGGAAGAGAGAGTAGAAACAAGAAGAACAGGAATTCAAGGCCATGCTCACATGCATATCAAGTCAGAGGCTAGCCTGAGCTACATGAGACCCTGTCCCAAGGAAGGATAGCTGCAATCATTTTAAAAGAGGAAGGGCTGGGACTAGGGCAGTGGTTCTCAACCTCCCTAATGCTGTGATCTTTTAACACAGCTCCTCTTGTGGTGGTGACCCCCAATCATTAAATTATTTCCATTGAACTTCATGACTGTAATTTCGATACTGTTAGGAATCGTAATATAAATATCTGATATGCAGGATATCTGATATGAGACCCCTGTGAAAGGGATTGCAACCCTCAGATTGAGAACTGCTAAGGGGTTAAAAGCACTTACTGCTCTTGCAGAGAAGCCAGGTTCGGTTCTCAGCACGTCTATGATGGCTCACACCTGCCTGTAACTCCAGTTCCGGGGCATCTGGTGTGCCCTGCTGACATCTCTGCGCTCCTGCACACTTGTGGCACGTTTATACACAGGCACATGTTCATAAAATAAAATCTTTTTAAAAGATTCTCTCACCCCTGGATAGCACTGGGGTGGGGACAATGCCTTTAACACACGGGGTCTTTGGGGACACTCTAATCAGAGTTTCAAGCCTGCAGAATCCTTGAGTGGATAAAAACCAGATGGGCCTCAACAGCAACCTCAACCTTGCTCCACTACAAATCAATGAAATTTGGGTTATTTTCTGAAAAAAAAAAAAAAAAGTTTACAAAATTCAGCCAATCATAAGCTGTAAAGCGATAACTGTAACCCAGGGCTTTTGCCATTGCAAACCAATCAAATAATGTCCTTTTACCTCTTTGTTTTCCCAGTAAATACTTGCCTCTAGCACCTCGTCCTTGGGATGCTGACCCTCTTGGTTTGGTGCACACCCATGGACAAATGACTTCTCCCCAGATAAGCTGTGTGTCACTCATCTTTCTTCTTTCTCTCCTTCCTTCCTTCCCTTCTCTTTGACACAGGGTCTCTCTATGCAGCCCTGGCTGGCCTCGAACTAGACTAGCCTTGAACTCAGAAACATTCCTGCCTCTGCCTCAGGTGCTGGGATTAGAAGTGTGGCCGCCATGTCGCACTGTGTGTGTGTGTGTGTGTGTGTGTGTGTGTGTGTGTGTGTGTGTGTGCATTCTCACACCGCGGTGCACATGTGAGGACTGTCGGAAACACTGAGTTTCTTCTTTCCACCATGTGCGTTCTGCACATCAAACTCCACACACCAGGCTCCGTGGCAGGTGTCTTTACCTACTGAGCCACCTAACCAGCTCTGACTTTTCTTTGTTAAATCCCTTTGTCCCCCTGCCTTCCTCAGAAACTGCCTGGGAGTGTCTGAGACAGATGTGATAAACGCCACAAACCAGGTGTTCCTAAAACCCAGGACGGAACTCAGTCCCCTGTAGTTCTTGAGGCCCGAGACCACAGCAGTTTCACAGGGTTAGTACTAAGCAGTCCCCCTCACCTTCCAAAGGTCCCCCAGGAGAGCGCCTCTTCACCACTTCCAGCTCCTACTGACTGCTAGCTTCCGGTTCCTGCCTTGCTGTCATGGGCTTTGTTTGCTTTTTTGGAGACAGGGTCTTGCTAGTAGCCCTAACCCACCAGACACTCCCTTTGTAGCCAAGGCTGCCCTCAAACGCATAGCCATCTTTCTGCCCCAGCCTTTCGAGTGCACAGATTATGGGTTTGCACCACCAAAGCCAGCTGGGAGCTGGTACCATCCTTCCTCCTCTGATAGGTGGGTAAAATGGAGAGAGGAGTGGAGGTGCGCCCCCCAGCTCTGCCCTGCACCAAGGTCTTCTGGGAAATCAGTTGGAGAAGCTCCTGTACGGAATCCCCTTAATTAGCCCAGGCTGGTGTCCTACTCTTGATCCTCTGCCTCAGTTTACCAAGTTCTGGGACTGCAGATATGAGTCACCATGCTCAGCTTGTAGTATAGGAATGATGGGAACTGAGCCTAAGGCCTGGAGGTAGATAAATTCTCCATCAAGGAGCTACACTCCCACCCACCCCCTTTTTAAAAACTTTGACACACTCTTA